GAAATAGCCGTTCTTGCAGCGTTCGTACCTTCCTGAAAGTTTTCCTCTTCCTCTTGCTCTTCCCTTCCAAGTCCTTTCTCCCAGTGAATACCATATTGGTACCAGTGTTGGTGCTCTTGGTGGTGGTAGTAGCACTTCGTACTAGTCGAGGTGCTGGTAGTATAGTAGTGCTAGTAGCAGTCGCGCGATTTGTGGTAAACCAATCAAAACTAATCGTTTTTTCTACGTTTTTGCTCTCCCAAATCCTTTCTCCCACTGAAAACCATATTGGTCGTAGTGGTCTTGGTGGTGGTAGTAGTAGTAGTAGTGGTAGTACTGGTAGTAGTAGTGGTAGTGGTGGTGCTAGTAGTGGTCCGGTAATCCAATCCAGTGCAAACGCAAAACCTATCGTTTTTTCTACCTTTTTGCCCTCCCAAGTCATTTCTCCCAATGAGAACCGTGTTAGTACTAGTAGTGGTAGTGGTAGTGGTAGTGGTACTGGTAGTGGTAGTGGTAGTCGTAGTAGTAGTGGTAGTAGTAGTAGTAGTAGTAGTCGTCGTCGTCGTAGTAGTAGTAGTAGCAGTAGCGGTAGTGGTAGCGGTAGTGGTAGTGGCAGTGGTAGTGGTAGTGGTAGTGGTAGTCGTAGTGGTAGTGGTAGTGGTAGTGGTGGTAGTGGTCGTAGTGGTCGTAGTGGTAGTAGTAGTGGTACTGGTAGTGGTAGTGGTAGTGGTTTTGGTAGTGGTAGTGGTAGTAGTAGTAGTAGTAGCAGTAGTAGTAGTAGTAATACTAGTAGTAGTAGTAGTAGTAGCAGTAGTAGTAGTAGTAGTGGCTACTACTACTACTCCTACTCCTACTACTACTACTACTACTCCTACTACTACTGCTACTGCTACTGCTACTGCTACTGCTACTGCTACTAGTACTCCTACTAGTACTAGTACTAGGAGTAGTAGTAGTAGCACTAGTATTAGTACTAGTAGTGGCAGTGGTAGTGGTAGTGGTGGTAGTAGCCGTTGTAGTGGTAGTAGTAGTGGTACTGGTACAGTAGTGCAACCCACTGGTACAAACCTCACCTTAACGCAAAATGTATCGTTTTCTCTACTTTTTGGCCCTCCCAAGTCATTACCCTCAATGAGACCCATGTTGGTCGTCGTAGTAGTAGTAGTAGTAGTGCTAGTGCTAGTGCTAGTGCTAGTGCTAGTACTAGTACTAGTACTAGTACTAGGTGGTGGCGGTGGTGGTGGTAGTAGTAGTAGTGATAGTACTAGTACTAGATATAGATAATATATATATATATAAACCTTGCGCTCGCCCTTGCGCCTTCTTGCGCCTAGCAGGTAAAAACAGCCCAAAAACTGATCAATCTTTATGATATGTCCTCTCTAAAGCCTGTCTCTATACCGGGGTTTCGAACGGCTCCCATATACACTGCCTCTGGTGTACCAACTCTTGGACTTAAAGGGCTCTCGTACGTTCTTTGCCCACCAGGACGCACTTTTTCCGACACTGGGACGCACCTTCTCTGTGGCCTTTCACTTCTTCTTTTAGGCACAACCAGGGCTCAAATGGAGCGCTCCCACACCATCAATCTTCCAAACGGAAAAAGAAAGAAAAAAACATCGCAGGCGCCCGATTCGCCGATTCCCAACTTCGTTCAGCGTCTGCTCCTCCAACCACAGGGCAATCTCAAAGCCCCGCCCCAGCCCAGGCAGCGATGGCGTGCCGCCCAGCACGGCCGAGCGCAGCTGGTGGCCACCTGCCAGGGGATGACCCAAACGGAAATGGTGAACCTTCAAGTCTTCCAGCCCCATGAAGATCCTGAAGCATTGGCTGCTGACCTCACTCTCACTCCTTCTCGATGACCTTCTCGCTATTTTTCACTCTCTGAGTTGGCTGAAAAACTCTCGCGAAACGCCGGCCGTGCATCGGAATGGGCGCCTAGCATCTCCAGGCTGTTCAGCAGGTGCTCATAGAGCTGCCCATCATTCCTCGAGAGGGTCCACGACACAGCGATGACATGACGTCGCCCCCATCCGGAATCCTTGGACAAACGAATCCTCTCCTCCAAGTGCTACTCACCACGATCTTCGCGCCGGTGCGCTCAATGACCTGAGACATTGAGCGTAGAGGAACTCAGTAACGCTCCCATGACGCCAAAAAAACAGAATTGACGAAGCCAAAACGAGCACAAAAACCGGCAGACTAGGCCCAGGCGTTCTCAAACCGTTGGACAGATCATGCGGCAACTTGATCTTCACAGGGCCAAAAACTGCTCAGGGTCCATGTTGCTCCATGTAAATCCTGCAGATACGTAGGGCAAAAAAACAGTAAGCTTTGGGCCCAACCGTGGTGGAAAACCCAATGAAAAAACCCAGGTCTTGAACCCCCACCCAGTCCCAGCCGCTGTGGCCAGGTTCCGCACGCAGGACGCTCGCAGCGGCACGTGGCTCGCAGCGGCCGTGAGGAGTTCCTCGGAGGTCGTCAGCACACCGTCCACGTCGAGGAAGACCAACGGCCACGTCGCGGCGCCAGGTTGCCCCAGCGACATCGACGCAACCCAAAAGAGGCGGCGCGAGATCTCAGCCAGCTGGGCTGCGAGGTGTGTCGATCAGTTGCTTGATCTTTGGGGCAAGCTTGGTCTGCCTTGAACATGCGAAGGAGAAAGGGAATGCTCTTAACTACCACACAACACTCTCTCGTGACTTCCTGTAGAGCTCAGGCACCATTAAGCTCTAAAGGATCCTTTCCACCGCAACCTTGCCCCCGTCCCATGTCCTGTCCCTCCCAGCAAACCCTCCCAGCACCGGCCTTTGCACGTTGGCCAGGGCGGAACGCTCCGCCTAGGCGTTCCAGATGCAATCCAGCTAAGCTACTGCCCATCGGAAGGCTAGAATCGGAGTCCCTGTGATGTGTTTCTTTCGAGGTTCAACAGTCTGCTAGGGAGCGCATCAATTCTGCGTGGTCAACTGCAAGAAGCATCTCCGATCACGTTCTGGGCAATAGCCCCAAGGGGTGGCAATCGTACCCACAAGTTGCTGAAACACAAAATCTAAATGCACAACTTGTCTAATAGAGTGCCACCAACCACACAACACCTCTACACCTCTCACCTATCCACCTTGTCACCCTACGTCACGCTTTCACTTGCCCATTGCGCCTGCAGAATGTCCAACAACGACGCCGTGGTAGAAGGCCTTGGGAATCGATCTTGCAGCTCAACCATGCTCAACCTTCAATATGAAGAACTGTCCGCAAACCCCAAAATTTGGGGACTGTCTTCACATGCAGGGGACTGAAGTAGCATTTCAAACGCTCTTCATGTTTCCCCTCCCCAGTTGCCCCTTTCGCTCAACTCACCAAGGAGCTCGTCAGCCACGGGTTGGACCTCGGAAAAAGGGTCCAAAGCATCGGACCCTCGGGTGGGCCGGTCGGGACAAAAGGAACTCAACCTCTAACCAATTTGATATCATGGAGTAATCATTTAGTATTGCAGAGTATTGCACCCTACCGGAAAAGCAGGTTAATTTTTAACTGTAGAGGAGTCTTCAGTCTTCAAGTTTCATACCTCCTTCGAAGTTGGTGGCACTGCGCGGACAAATCCAACACCCAAATCCAAAGGGGCCAAAGTCCGATGTCAGCGAAAAGGTCTACAGACATGGTGCAAACTGTGCCAACTGTCCAAACATGTATCAAATTGGCCCACGCAAAGCGCTGCCTTGCGCCCAGCCACAGCACCACGCAAAAGGAGCACTGAGAGGATGGCAATGAGCACCTCACGGCAACCATGTTGTGCGACAGACAAGAGCTGCAACAAATTGACCGATCGTGGCCCGGTCCAGTGTCCCCAACAACCGTCTACAGAAGAACATGAGCCTGACAAAACGTCAAGCTACAATGTGCTAGGTAGAGAATCATGAACGGAGCTGATAAACTGGGCAATCAACCCACCATTCTTAGTTACTTGGGTGAACGGAAACAGCACCACCTGTTGGTCGATTGGACAAGGGGAAATCTAATCTACTGATCAACCAAGAAAGTTGGACCTCCCTCTCCACCCCATCAGCTGTGGTGAAACATATCATGTTTCAAATCCTTGACCAATGACACAATTGTATTCTTTGTGGTCAACAAGCACATGGTTGTATAAGTTGTGACTGAGTTGTCAGAATCTCCTTGTGCACTTGCTCCCGCTCTGCTGAGCTAGCAGGCGTAGTAGGCGTAGCGTTCCCTCTCGGTCGCCACCGGTCGCCGCCGGTCACTCCACAGAGCTCGGGCGCTCGGGCGCTAGGGCTGGCGCGTATTGTAAAAAGCTCTGGGTGCGGCAAAGCCCCAGGATCTCCTGCGAAGTCGCAGGGAGCCCAGACTTCAGACTTGGCCAACATGGGAAAAATCAAAGGAAATCTGATTGCTGACCCTTGGAAGGATTGGCAAACGTCCGACATGACATGCGTATCAAACATGTCTACATTTCAATCCATTGGAAGCAAATACGACTAAGTATGGCATTCCAAAGCCATCAGTCCATCAGTCCTTGTGCTCCACACGCATGGCATCCTTCGAGAACAGGAACAACATCCACGGTCCCCTTGCATCAAATATAACTATATAAGACCTATACAACTCAAGTTTGAAGACCGCTTTTGGTAGGTTACTTATATAGTTACTTCGCAGCATCCCCGCTGTACAAGGGACCATGGCACGACCCCTATGAGCCTTCAGCATTCCACACGATGCAAGGTCAACCAATTGACCTTGTATCACAGAACTGTACGGCAATCCGCAATCCCTTCAGAAACAATCCGCTGGGTCCAAACACCAAACAGGCACCACAGTCGTGGCAAAGGCCTTGGACAAAGCACACACCAAAGGCACCAAGACCGCAGGTCGAATGGTCGAAGTCGCCTCATCCCGCCCGTCCCGCCTCTGGAGGGCGCGGAAGGTCCGGAAGGTCCAGGGGACCTGCAGAGGGTCAACGGCTGGTGGCTTTGGCAGGTGGCCCTTCTGGAGATGGTGTTGTTTTCTGGTGACGGGGGGATGCTTGGTTTAAGGTTTAGTAGGTTTCGTACAGTTTATATATATATATATATATACATGGTGCGTCGCCCTTCTGTGCTTGCCATTCCAGCAAGAGGCAGCAACTGAGGCTTGATTCACCCATCAAGACCATGCTCAGACCATGCTTGTTGGGCAAAAAGCACAGGAGAGAGCACCCTGGCTGCCTGCTCCATCCATGATCTCTTCCGCATCCTCTGCCTCCTCTTCCTCCTCCACCGCTTCATCCCTCTCAGAGGGCAACCCCACATTCTCCCAGCTTTCACCTGCAGCTGTTGAGATGCATCGAACGATGCAGTTTTGGGGTCGATCAAGTGGAACTGAGTAAACCTTCAAAGTTACCTCAAAAAGTCATCCTCCCATGCCTGTGGAGTCCTATTTGGGGAGCCAAAAGGTAGCAAGGAATCCATGGTTCTCTGGAAAAAAAAGATACGGGACGTGGCTAAAGGCAAAAAGGAGTTACTAGTAACTCCACTTGATCTCAGATGCCATCCCTTTACACTCTTCAACAGGTCCTCAATTTTTTGGAAAGCCCAAGTCTCTCAAGACCACGCTGCGCCAGGCTTCAGACCGCCTTCCCACCTTTTCGGCCCGATTGTCCCACCTGATCCCGGATCCACCGGGCAGCCTGTGGCGTCCGTGCCCCCCGAGGCCACAGAGACGGAGTCGCTCGGCTCGGTGTCGCCCTCCAACTGCTCCTGTCGGACCCGTCGCCCTCGTCGGGGACGGGGGGGGAAGACGAGTGGGTCATCCCAGGTGGGTGTAAGAATTGGGTCCGATGTCTTCTTCAGTGCCAGGGATGATGTCGAGGTAATATGTCAAGGTGCCTCAACGAGGGGGAATTGGGAGCTTTGTGGCTGGGATAGGCAACTTACCTGACTTCGACTTGATCTCCCCAAAGCTAGTAGGAGCAAGGGCATCGCTACTAGGAGCAAGGACGCTACTAGGGGCTCCTGGCCTTACTACTAGTAACAAGGAAGCTACATGACGCTACTAGTGTCTTAGTGCTCTCAAAAGACCTGACCTGACTTGTCCCGGTCACAGTGACTTCGCCCTGAACGGTTCATCCAAGTGGCTGGGTCTTCCATGGTAGGCAGCGAAGGCGAAGGTCGTTCTATGTACACAACGGGCAGGTCGCTCGAGCCATCATGGGGGTCAACGCAAAAACAGGTTTGGGTGGAAATCTTGGATGGTTTCCCTGGCCTTGGCTTTTGTTTCATGCAGGAATGTAAAAAATGTCACACCTTGAACATAATTGTCCAAATCACACAACTGGTTGTTGCTGTTCCACCCAACTCAGATTGCCATTACAACATCTTGGCCTCCCTCCGCAACGGCGCAAGCACGAACATGCGCAGAACTGAGCGACCATCGCACCGCGGGAGTCGAACTCGGGTGTCCGAGTGCTGCACTGGACTCCCAGGAAGGAGGCACATCTTCAGCCTCCTGCGAGGGTGGTCGGACAGTATGAAATAGGATAGGTCTTTGGGAGGACAGCTCTTAAACGGAGGGCTTGGCTCACAAAGGTTGAATCTGAAAAGTGACTGACCTCCGCCACGGGAGATGTTCTGAGTGAGATGTTAGCGGAAAGCGCCTTGCTTTCGCTCAGGTCGCCCTGGCTAGGCTTCCAGTTCTCATCCACCAGGGCGACCTCTGTGACGTTGGGCCTCAGAGCCCCGCCAACGAGCACCCTGCTTCGGGAGTCATGTGAAGCAGATCAAATGCTCCTAGTAGCTTCTTGTTCCTAGTAGTAAGGCCAGGAGCCCCTAGTAGCTTCTTGTTCACTTCACAATGTTCAGGTATTTCGGCTCAAAAACTGCCTTTCGACGTCCAGACTCTTTGATCGGAAAACACACCCAGCAATCGCCCAGACTGTCGGATCTCGGCTCCCACGCATCATGTCCCGGTTCAACTTGACATTGAAGCTCACCCTGTCGGGTGCGGCAAAGCAAATTAAAATGGTAACATGGGGTTTAATCGTGGTTCAATGGTGGTGCGCACCACACTCATGTAGTCTGTCGCCACAGGAAGACAAGAAAGGTCAAAGGGAGAATTCGAGAGATTCAGAATTCAGAGATGGGTCTTCCGTTCCAGATTCCAAACTCATGGTGAGACCCTCTGGCTCAATGAGCTTCAGTCGATTTTGGCTTTTCTCAAAGATCGATGGGACCCGCATAGCTGAAAGACTATTTGATGGAGGCGTCAGTTTCCAAGCGGCTGGAGGGCAAACACTGCTTCTCCGACGATGGTAGCTCCAAGTCACCAACCTCGAACCCAATCAGACTTCTGGCTCCGATCGGATACTCCCTTTTGGTGATGTGCTCAACCCACGGCAGACCACGTCACAGGGGCGCCGCGCCACTGGCCCGTCTGCAAGCCAGCGGCGAACTCCTGAGTCCGTCAAGCACTATCACAGACGTTCAGATACTGTCGTTCCGTCTGGATCTTCTGGTTCTGTGACTCAAACGTGCATATGTGACTTGGTTGCGTTCTTGT